AGGTGCTCGACTGGAATATGACAATCAGTTGGGGAGCAGGGAGGGAGAGTAGGTGAAGTTAGAAAGAGGGAAAGGATAACTAAAACAAGAGACAGTTGAAGTGTCGTATAATAATCTAATACAATAGAAGCATTCGAAATAATATACAAGAAAAACATTCTTAAAGAACCATTTAATTGCACATTTAAAATATGTACATCACATTTTATATCAATAATTCTTTGATATTACTTTATTTAAAATTTTTGGGTTTTGATAAAATGTATTCTAAAACTATGTGGAAATGCTATAATATCAGGATAAAGCTAAGAGTCAAAAACTTCTAATGTACACTATCAAATATTTAGCCATAACATTGCTATAATCTATTTTTATGTGTTTTAGGTGATTTTTCATAAGTTATCAAATTCAATTGTATCAGTATCTTTTGTTTCTGTTATTAATGGATTTTTGATTCATTTGAACAGGTTATTTTCTGTGATGATTGGTGGAATGCTTTAAGAAGGAGACAGCCATCTCCTCAGTCTTCACAGAACAGAGTTTCTTACTATAGTCAGTTTAACATATCATCAATAAAATGATTTTATGCTTAAATATTTGCATACCTCTTTTCATTATTGTTCACACAAACATGAAAAACAGAAATTAAACCACTGGTTTTAGAAATGAATTCACAATTAGATATCTTAGACATTTTCAATAGTATCCATTATGTTTTAATATTTTGTGTATGGAATGTATATGCATTTGTGTGTGGTGGGGGGAAAGGGGTCAGGGGCCAATATTGGGCATCTCCAGTATCACTGTCTTCCTCAGATTTTAGAAGTCCCTAGATTGTTATTAGGTATCTTTCTTGGGTGCTTCCCACCTTATTTTTTGAGACAGTATTCCTCACTGAACGTTGAGCTAGATTTAATCAACTAGATTGCTTGACTAACACCTCTAGAATTCACCTGTCCCCTCTTGCCCAGCATTGGGTAAGCCACAATACCCTGCTTCTCTGTGGGCGGTGAGAATCCCAACCCTAATCATGAGAACTCAGACTGTCATGATGTGCAGAAAGCACTTCAGCAGTTGAACCAGCTCCCAGCCCCTAATTCCACTAGAATAAAATAGTGTGATGTTAAAATCTGGTCTTTGCTCTACTTTTATCTCCACTCCAAACTATAGATGAGCTCAACATTCTTGCCTCTGAGGAGATTCCAGAACTACAGAGAGAGGAAAATGCAAGTTAAAATCTGCCCATCTCCTAACTGTAGACTCAGATGTTTCTTAAGTTAGATGTGACCCAGTTAGCAAGAAGCCACCCAGCATCTCCACACAAGACCGCATTAAGATAGCCATTAAAATGATGCATTGTGGTCATCGAATCAATAGCAGAGTTTTGCTAAATTGTACAAAAAACTTCACATAAATATCACCAAGTTACTCTCTATGTCACTTTAAAACAACAGTAAAATGCTGAAGTAACACCACTCGTTTCCTCATACAGTTTTCTTTCTTTCTTTCTTTCTTTCTTTTTCTTCTCAGCATGAGAATACTACTTCAAAATTCTATGATGATTACAATTTCTCTAAAGACTGGAGTAAGCATATATGACGCCTACATTTTTTCTAATGTAATTTTTTAAAGTGTGCTACAATGCTATCCATGCTAAACAAACATGCTTTATCACTGAGTAATACACCCAGCACCACACATGTAAAATGTGTATAACACTTGCTGTTTATTGTGTGGTAGGCATTGTTAAAACATTTACACATACAAATTCTTACTAGATTATATTCAAAGAAATTTGGGTAACTATGTTAGTTTTAAAAGATATATGAATCTATGCTCATAATCAGGAGCCTGGGTATCAAATTGTACGTGTACGGGATTGTGAGAGCTCAGTTTATTTTTTTTTTTCAGTATTTGGATTTACAACTCAAAAGAATTCAAAATACTTGTCAGAAATAAAACCCATAATAGTTGGTTCACTTTTAAAGAGAGTGAGGATGAAGGTAGATAACTTTCTAGCCATCAAGAAGCCCTGATTGTCACTCTCTGGTTTTATTCTATTATTGGGTGAGTATAGATTAATGTACTTGTCTCCACTGTACCAATATATAATGCATGAACACAATTACTGGGGTAATTTAGAAACAGGATGCCTTTAATCTTCTGTTCAAATCAATCAATTACAATGCAGAGGTTGTGGAATGTTCTATGATTTTGCATAGATTCATGAATAAAACTAAACTTAGTAAAATGAGGCGGAGGAAATGTGAAACCTATAATATTGCTTATATGTTACACAGGCTGTATAAATTTATCATGTACATACCATTTTGAGAGTTGTAGCTAAAGAAAAAAATGTTCTAGAGAATAGGATTCCATTTTCCCTCTTGAAGAAAGTGGAGCTACAGGGTTTCCAAACTCAAAGTTTGTGAAAGTCAGTGTCACAGTCGTAAACAGGAACACGGCACAGTAAACTTCTAACATGTCAACTCTTCTTATTTGTAGTAGGAAAACATTTGTGTTTCAAAATATAATGAGGATAGTTATTACCTTAAAGTGGTATTCATTTTCTGGATTCACAAGTCATTTAAAATGTATTACCCAGCCATGCTGCTTTGTTACAACTTGTTATTGTATTACTGTGTCATGAAACCTTATAGGCAATGAAATTTTATATGGAAAATTTTCAGTTCACACAAGTTGCCTTTTTTTTTTTCTCCTCTGTAGCTGGAGATTTCGAGAGAAATATGAACTTGAGTTTAGTTTAAAAGATAAGTAAAAAAAAAAAAGGAAGGCGTTTAAGAAATGTGTCAAAAATAGTAGTGTGTGTTTTTCTAGGCGCTTGGTGACTAAGATCAGGGTATGTGCCTTAACAGCCACTTGACTGAGTTTGCTGTTCCCCTGTCATTGGTTGACTTCCTCAATGACTACTCCTTAAAGGCAGGGAGCAGAGTCAGCACCACGGATAGCTCCACACACTGTGCTTCTGAGAGAGAAACCAGCCTCCTGGAAGCCCAGCTGCAGCTAGAGAACAGGATGGGGAATGATCTACCTACAAAAGAAAAGAAAAGAAATTAGGCATCGGGAAAGTGTGTGTTCTCAATATTGCAAGCGATGCAACTGCACAGATCCAAGAAAAATAAAGCTAATTAGCTAGAAAACTCAACTATCCCAGGCCCTGTCTTCCCTTCAATTTCTTTTTCAATACTTTTATATAAAAGGATTAGAATTTTAGGGGTTCTTCTTTTTGTTCGGATTGGGCGGAGGGTTGATTTATAAATGCTTTGTGTTAATCTCTTATTTACCACAAATAGGTGAGTCACCTTTCTAAACTTGGATTGCTTCTTTGCACTTAGTTCCAGTCTCATTTCACTTCAGATCTGAGCTGTAACTGAACCTGTAAAATAGGAGCTGGACAGACTCAGACAAAGCAGAACAATGGGCAGCTCCTTGACCTACTAGAGACCCTCTATCATGCAGCTACATGTCCTGACTGAAATCTATGGACCTTTATTGACAGTTGGGAACAAGAGATTTGTCTATGCTCTATTTTTATAGATTGAAGTGATGGTAAACAGAGAAAGGAGTGTGCATAGGGCTTTAATGAAGGTGACTGCATAAATGAAGGGAAAGAAGCAAGACAGGAAGAAAAAGAAACCTGCAAAATCAACTTTGAAAAGATGCTTTCCAGCACAGTTCGCCTTAAGTCTCCAGGAGCGTGTGAACCAAAGTATTTGCAAACCAGGAGGTGATACCCACGTTGGATGCCTCTGAGAAGCAAGAAGGAAGAGGTCTCCACGTTTCCCTTTTAATCTCTTCTTGTCTTATGCAAGCGCTCCCTTAAAAAAAAAAAAAAAGGTGAAAAAGCAGAAGGAATTGGCTAGTACGTTTAGAAGGTAAGTAACAAGGGAGGTCAGGAGGAGGCTGAGAACTCTTAGCCCCACCCACCTTTTGTTTCTTCTGGCTGGCGCCCAGCCTCACCCATTTCAAACTCTTGCCTTGTACCATTTCCTTACACAATCTTTGTTCGGTCTTACCATCATTCTGGCAGTCTCTAGCACCTGGAGACCCAGTCACCCCTCATTGCAACTCCTCGGGGACTCCCTCGGGGAAACCCGGCATGCTCAGCGGTGCTGACATCCTTCAGTCTTTCAAAGGCTTAGCTCAGCGCTGCGTAGCCCGGGGTTTCATTCAGGGCCCGCCCCTGAGGAGCTCAAAAGGTCCGAGCTGGACCCTGAAATTGTTACCTCCACTCTTAGGTGGCGCCTCTTAGACTTTCAACATTCTGAGCGCCCGCAGAGCTTAGAAACACTCCTTGGAGGGCCGGCTCCCCACCTGTCTTTTCTTTGCAGCTGAGGGTGTGTTAGCTAGCGCGGCGAGAGGCGCTTAAGGATGGAGCCCTGTGGCTAGTGGCGGTGGAGATCACCTTCCCGGAGTAGCTGTTTTATCACTGAGTTTTGGAGATTTCTTGGCTGCCTTCCCCTAAGGCACGCTTGAGTAACCGGAGCTGTGGCGGCGCCCAAGCTCCCAAGATAAAGGCTGTGTGTGTGTGCGTGTGTGCGTGTGTGTGTGTGTGTGTGTGTGTGTGTGTGTGTGTGTGTGTAGGGGGAGAGGGCGGGGACAGAAACGTCAACCCCCACCCTGCCTCCTTTTCTTTTTCCCCTTCCTGCAAAAGGCGCACAAGTCTTCCACCCTACCCCACCCCCTACCACCAGCAATCCTTGGGGCTCTGGGCAACAGCCAGGTTAAACCTATTTGCCCTGGGAAATTGGCGCTGTTCGGGAGAAGAGAAACAGATCGATTGCCCTTGTGACTCCCCGCCCCCCACCCCGGCCCAGCCCGCCCCCCGCGTTCCTCGGCCCTCCCCCGCCGCCTCCCGCACCCCGCCTCCTCCCTTCCCCGCCCCCAAGCGTCTCACCCGCGGCAGGCCGGTGCGAGGCCCCCTCCGGAAGGTGAGCGGGATGGATTGGACTCCGGCGGGGAACGCGGGTGTCTCGAAGTGGTGCTAATGGGAAGAGGTTTCTGCTCCCCAAAGAAGATGCGCTGCCACAAAGAGCGGCTCGCGCGCCGGCCTGGGCTCTAGCCCGGGAGACAACCCGGGAGAACTCCGAGCTCTGAGCGCTCGGCGAAGACCCGGGCAACATGCCTGTTCGCAGGGGGCATGTGGCACCGCAAAACACCTTCCTGGGGACCATCATACGGAAATTTGAAGGGCAGAGTAAGTTCGTTTGTTCTCTCCTGTCGCTCGCTTTCCGCTTTGGTCGAGCACTTGGCGTCCGTCGCTTCCAAGCTAGAGGGATGGACAACTCCGGGCTGTCAAGTTAGGGGCTGAGAAAGCCAGCCAGGCAGTTCGGACGGCAGCGGGAGTGTTCTCTCTCTAAGATTAATTTGGATTTGCATTTTAGATTGCGGACTCCATTGTACCAGGCGATTTGATCCTCCTCTCCCACTGCTCCATTATCTGCCTTGCTACTTCATGCCCTACTAGTCTACAACCTTAAAGGGAACGTGCTGGTGTAACACGGGCTTGCATTCTAAAGCGCTTTTTTCTGTGGCAGACTTTTTAAAGTCGGGAGCAGAGCCGCCTATAGCCTCGGAACAAGGACGTGTAAATGGTAGTAGCGATGTTGGGGAACTGCTGGTCTGTGGACTGTCAGGGATGCTCTTGTGGTGTTAGTTGGCTCTTAAAACTGAACTTTGTCCGGGAACTGAAAATAAACGCCGAGGAATGATTTGGTGAGCAGCGGACTGACTGGTTTTCAGTGCAAGCAGCTCACTATTCCAAAACCATATTTGTGTCTCTCTGTTGCTCCCCTAAATATACCGTGTGGGAATTTAAAAATCGAAAGGCAAGTCTGCAAACCCCACAGAGACTGAGTGTAGAGAAATTTAATCTGCTCGTGTAAGCAAACCACCGGGAATTAATAATTTTATAGAAATACATTAATTTAAAATCGTAGACTTGTCCGTTTATATGCTGCACTAAATCTACCTCAGCGCGCATTTATGTTTCATACTTCACATTTTCCAGTACTGCGTTCAGTGATACGCAGATCTGGTGCCTGTGTACAAATTTAACTTCTCCATTTGGCTCCATATTCTTTCTGGAAATAGCAAACATAATTTGTTATCACATGTAATGTGATCTGTATTAAAATATCTACTATTACACAAAATTATAGCTTGTTCCAAAGAAAAAGTTTTTTTAAAATGTGTTATAATTTTCACTGCATAGGTATGTAGTTTTTTTTTTTTTATCTTTTGGATTTGGACATAATGAAAGTGTGAAGCTTTACATTATTTATTGTTAATAAACGTGAAGTCATTTCATTGCTAAAGACAATTATCTTAAAGATGATTAAATAAAAGCATGTGTTAAATAAACCACAGACATATATATATACATACATATATATATATATATATATATGTATATATATATATACCTTTCCTACAGAAATCAAATCTAAGAATAAGTGCTTTGAGAGAGTTGCATTCTAAGGTCCAGTTAAAGTTGAAATGAGAAAACCTGGCAATAAGAGGGTGTTTGAATTTTCCAGCTTAGGAAAATTTTTATCATACAACTAATTGGCATTCTGGAATCAACCACTGGCAAGCTGTTTGTCTGCCTTCACTAGGGTCCCTGGCACTTACTGAGCATGAGAACTAGACAACTTGGGAAATTCTGTTCTTAAAATTGAAGAATGATTTTCTTAATATCTTCTATTAAACTGATATCACATCTAAAGTTTGTAGAGGAGTGTGTGTGTATGAGAGAGAGAGAGAGAGAGAGAGAGATTTTTAATTCTCTTGGAAAGATCTTAGTAATTAATTAGCATTTTGGGGAAGCAACTGCATTTCAGACCCTTGTTATGCAACAAATTGTTTCAGTGTTTGTGAGAACCCTGTGGAAGATTTTTAAAAGATGCCTTTACCATCTTCTTATTGCAGATAAAAAATTTATCATTGCAAATGCCAGAGTACAGAACTGTGCCATCATCTACTGCAATGATGGCTTCTGTGAGATGACTGGTTTCTCCAGGCCAGATGTCATGCAGAAGCCATGCACCTGCGACTTTCTCCATGGGCCTGAGACCAAGAGGCACGATATTGCCCAAATTGCCCAGGCGTTGCTGGGGTCGGAGGAGAGGAAGGTGGAGGTCACCTACTATCATAAAAATGGTAAAGTGGACGCACTTAGGATTCCTTGTATTCAATGCCTTTGCAGTGAAATTTTTAATTACTGAAAAGTTCATTTGCAGAGAAACTTCACATAATTAACTGTGGATGACTTTTCTAATGTAAAGTCTCTGTGTCCAAGAAGTATGGATGTTTTTCTCATTGGGCCAATAGGAGAATTTTCTTCTTCATGAAGTGTACCTTGTTTGAACCCTGTAGAGGTTAAGTAACTTAATCTCACCAAGGACAAAAATGACATAAGTCAGCCCTGACACTTTTCACAGGAGTGCTGTGAGGATGAGTAACTCACTGTTTGCAGTGTTCTGTGTGTAGTGTGAGAGAGACACGTTTTATCTGCCTGCATCTGAACATATGTCCAAGGGCTTCTTGGAAACTGTAATCTGAAATGAAAATGAGTTCAGTTATGAGTATTTCTTGGCTTTTTAAGTGTTGATGGATGATACCTCTGATTTCTTTCACTTTTTCAGTTGTGTTTTTTTTTTTTTTTTGAGAAGATTAAGCATAGTATATAACTTCTTCAACTGAGGCACTAAACTTGGAAACATACAGTTGTTTTAAAATAAGAAATATGGAAGACATTACTTGTGGGAAATACAGAAAAGGAGCTGTGAGTTATCCAGGTTATTGACATTCACTTTTCCACCACAGTTAAACTATTATTTCAAAGCTACATCAATTACTTCAACTTCAGACACCTCTTTCTCATAGCCTTTCCCTTGAAACAATGCGCATGCATTTACACTGTAACACACGCCACACACACACGTGTACACACTTACAGGCACTGGCACATACATGTGTATGTTCATATGCATGATACATATATTCAGATATAGATTACTGAATATAAATAGGTTACTGTATATGAATACTCACATAATTCACTTTAAGATATATATATACACTCTTCAATGTGTATTTGTAATGGCATTTGCCTATTTATCGAAGCACTTGTAGAAAACTTGTGTGTTGTAGCTTATTTTGTCAACATTACATCAGCTATTTCTCTTTTTATTTTATGTCCAAAAGTTAATGAGGCTGAGGGTAATCTCTTCAGAGTTTTAGAAAACCCTTAAATTTGGTAAATGCATGAGTAACATAGGCTATATTATATTACAAGTCATTGTTTGAAAACTACAAAGAAAAAAAGCAAAAAAAAGGTTAATTCTTTCTCTTATTTTCTTATAATTAAATGTTTCTTGATAAGACATGTACAATTATTATTTGCTGGATTTTTCCATCATATGAACTTGAACTTGAGTGGGTATTTGAAACCAGTATTACTGGAAAAACAGGTTTGTATGACTTTGTATTGCTTTGGAGTGAAAGCAATTGTATGATTATCAAGCGGCACAGAGCTTGTTTCTTAAATTCTTCCCAGTTTACTCTTTTGATCAGTAGCATTGTGTATTATAAATAGCCAAACTGGTCCATTGTCTGAAAAGATTTTTGTAGTAAGGCTGTCAACAAACATTGCCACTTACCTCTTTTGTCTATTTGATGTCAAGACACTATTTTTTTTTTTTTTTGAAATTTTAAAAAGTTCGATGTTGTTTCATCTCTGAATGTACGGGACTATGTTGACATGGTCCCTGTTGCGGTTGTTCAAGGCTGGTGGTCCATCATTAGTTGTTATATTTTCAAGACATTTTCAGAATGATTTCAACTTAAAAAAAAAATTAAAGGGCTCTTTTGATTAAGTCTGTTAGGTACTGAGTACATTTTACTGAATGGTTTTAAATAGGAATTGTCTATGTTAAATGTTGTAACTGCAATGTAGAAGTTTTGAAACCTCATCTGTTCATTCGCTATAACTGCAAAATAAGCTCAGAACACATTTCAAAAAGAATTTTATATATAAGCACAAACCTGTTGGTTACAAAGTCTGTAGTAAGGATGTCGGTGCATTGACCATTAAAGTCTATGCCTGATTGTTTGGCTCAGCTACATAAATGTTTGCACCAACTAAGGTCGATGCATCCAGAGGACCTAGACCCCCTACTCAGATGTGGCCAACTGGCAGCTCAGTCTCCATGTGAATCTCTGAGTGAGGGGAGCAGGGGCTGCCTCTATCATGAACTCAGTTGACTGCTCTCTAATCACCTGCTCCTGATGATGCAGCCTTGCCAGGCCATGGAGGAAGAGGATCCAAGCAGTCCTGATGAGACTTAACAAGCTATGGGCAGATGGCAATGGTGGAGAACACCCCCTTTCAGTGGAGTAGGGGAAGGGGAGGCAGGGAAGAGGGAGGGAAGGTAGTACTGGGGGAATTAAGGAAGGGGACTTTAGCTGGGATGTATAATGAATAAACTGTGAAGAAAGAAATAAAAATAAAAAAAGAAATAGAGGAGGAAGGGAGAGAGGGAGGTAGGAGAGAAGAAGGAAGGAAGGAAAGAAGAAAGGAAGGAAAGAAGGAAGGAAGGAAGGAAGGAAGGAAGGAAGGAAGGAAGGAAAGAAGGAAGGGACAAAAGAAAGAAAGAAAGAAAGAAAGAAAGAAAGAAAGAAAGAAAGAAA